GCATCTGCCGGGAAAAACAGTGCTGTTAGCGACAAAAATGTACGGGGAACTATGCAAAAAACGCATCTTCGTACCGGCAGCCGGTGCGTTGGCCATATTATTATCCTTATCTTACTTTATATCATATAACTTTAGTTAATGTATGTAACGATAAGTATATACATATAAATATATATATTCAAGTAGATGTTTTCATCTACACATACACACACAGAGGGCACACTAGTTTATTATCTTTAGAGTCGTGATAGGCTGCTTATAATAAGAAATTCGACTGGTTTCGAATGGCCCCAAGAAACAAAAGAATGACTAGGAGAGCAGGGACAACTGTCGATGACCTAATAAACCATGCAGGAGACCGCTTACAGCTGCGCAATCGAGAGCCATGGTTTCCAAATGGTGCATTTCGGTTACAGCAGCTAGGGAAGGTGCGGATCAATGCAAGCATGCAGTAAAATACTGGGAATTTCCGCTTTCATCGGTTTTTACTGTAGCCAGTGTGTGTGCGATTTTTGCAGATCCCCGCAGGCCTTGTTTCTATTGCGAAAAGGAAATGACGATTTGCCATATCAGCGAAGAAATGCCACCAGATGTTCGTTTACTGTTAACTTTTTTCGCCCAGAAAGGTGAAGACACTCGGGAATAGCTCAAGTGCCAGCTTGCAGGTGTTTTCTCTTTTTCGAGAGAGGAATTGGTGTATGCCGGACCAGTTTAGCAGTGAGACGAAGTGGTGGGATTTGTCTCCTTCCCCCTCCCTGCGAATTCGAACTTGCGACCTTTTGCACTGGTTGCAGTACTGCTTCCCAGTGCGTCATGGGCTGTTCTAGAATTACGATTGTTTGCCAGGGTTTCGAAGTATGATGTTCAGCTCAAAAACCCAAATTTGAGAATTGTCAATGTGTTGTTTGTTGTGTAGAAAGACCCCTGCTATGGATTTCCCCTGAAAACACGGGACAAAACGAACGTCAAGACCAGCGGCAGGCTGCTCACCAGACAGCCTAGCACTTCTCAAAGCTACAGAAAAAGTCAGATGCGCATAGCTTGTGAATTATAGTTGCACAGAATGTTCCAAACATATATATTCTAAGCACTGTTGCTTCTAGGCAGAGCATCATAACTTCGTAATGCCATTGTTAGCAACATAGGAAAATGAAGGCAGCTTCTTACAAAAGTGAACCTGCGTGTAGTGTATTGAGAAGCAGCCGCATATGCATACATAGTGAAAGACAGGGTCCACTTGCTATTGGACGACAAATTTTTCCACACTCGTAGTAAGAATATTTCTTAGGTTTTCGATCATAACTGTTAAGTATTTACGCCAACAACTGCGCCTGTCGTTACGTTTATGTTTGTTTCATTTTTCGAAGTAATTTCTTTTTTGCACCTCTTCAGTGAACTCTGTCTTTCCAGACCAAATTATGCTTCCGCCGTCCAAAAGACTTGCTGAATGTGGTGATGGGCGAAATAACAGAAATTAGCAAGTTCCAGACGATGCATACCAACCGACTTGCAAGGCGTTTTGTATCAATGGTAAGCTTTATTGCGATCCCACTGGCATTGTTTATTTTTTTCGATCTAAATTAGGATGCCACTGGTAAAATTTGTTACCAATTTTCTTCCAATAAGCCCTCCAAGAAGGCCGCCACCGCTATTTTTGCTAGCGATTGGCTATTGTTAACAAAGTACCATCATTTAATTTACTTCCAAATACTTCTGTCTCTCACAACAAGTAAGGTTTAGAGGGAGTTTCACCTCGACCTGGCTTACGGTAAATCAAAATCCATCCTAATCTGGGAGCTCGCTTTATCGGGCCAGCACACTTTGTCTTGCAGCATTACCACGCTTCCCTGGGCAGCTGGCGTGGGGTTCCAGTGTTACCATGACGTATTACACATCGGACGCAGCTGCGCCAAGCTCTTCGATCGTTCACTTAATTGTGCCCCTCCAGTTAGTACCTCTCATCTTTGTATTCGTGCTGCCTCCTTGGAGATCGCCTCAACTGGCTCTCTTCTTTCTCACAGCTTTCAGTCACTGCTACGCTCCTTCACCGGAAACCAGCACATTGAGTAATACATCCTTGTGAAATGTACTTCTTCAGTGGTTGCTGCCACTGTTACTACATCCAGAACTACTTCTGCACTTTACTGGCTGGTTTTGGGTGATTATGCTTTTACTGGTAGCTATAGCTTGCTGAGAAAGCGACAAACGTTTTCCGTATGGTATAAACATTCATGACCGTCTCTAAAAACTATATTGTACATTTCTTTTTTTTACCCTATTTCAGTCGTCTAAAACGGAAATACACTTAGCATCCGTAGATGTTTGCTCTTTTGATATTTTTTCCTTCAAATCTTTTTTTTTTTTTTTTGTAAATACGCCACACTATAGTCAACCTCAGCAAGTTCCCCTCAAAACCAAAGAAATTTTTTACGTTAGTTTGTTTAATATGTGAGCCAAACGAGGGCTGAGTACATAACGCACTGAGCGTGCTTACTACCGGTAAAGCAGCGGATTTGTTCTTAGACTGGAAATGTTAGACGGCTTGGCAAGTCACTACAGCGTAAATTTTTGCTAGAAAGGTACTTCTGTCTTCCAGAGCCCAGTAACTGGCAAAATATTTAGGATATCAGTTTTATTGTGCTGCTTTACCATGCGCGCGTAATTCATTTTAGCAAAAGATAGAATGCCTCTTGCTTACCGCCTGTGAAAAGCTGAATCACTCAAAGCAGACAGTTCATGTCAACAACAACCGCCGGTTGCGAAGCTGCAGATGGCTCCCTCTTTCGAGGATTTTTTTATGAATACACTGATGGCAGTTAATTTCCAGTGAAATTTAATTATGAAATTACAGCAAGTCAATCACGAGAAGCTGCGTCAATTTTGCTATGAGATTTTGAATCAGAAGACTGTCCTGGAAAGGTAAGAGCGCATTTTTGCTCCTATTCCTAGCTTATCTTCCCATATTTACTCAACTTCATGCAGATTATTAAAGACAATTGAATGCAGTTGTTAGAATTCCTTTAGTTCTCTTAAGTCGCAGTTGCCAGGAATACCATGGCCACTTGAGCAGTCGATATGGAGATTCCATGTTAGTGGTATTACTGCACTGCTGCGCCAAGCACTTTCATTCCTCTCACTTCTGAAAGGCATTGGTTTTGAGGACCACTCGTCTGTACCTGCTGCCCTTTCTGATACATTGTGATTGAATGGTAACGAAGTAATGACTCATTGATTGTTCGGAAGCCTGAACAAGCCGTTTTTGAAACGTTCCCACCATTTCTTTCATGTCACTGTCATATTTTCAGGGAATTGCTAAGCAGAATGGGAAGCAAACAAATACCTCTGATAAAGTAACTTGTTTTCAAAACTATACTTACATCCAGGATGCTCGTGTAAAGACAAATATCGCAAAAATTCTCTAAAAATTATTGCCGTACTTTCAGAGTGCTTAAGCTAATATCCTACAAAGTTCCAATCTGGGCAACTCGTCGTAGTGTAAGGGTAGCAGTAGAACAGCGTATGACGCGAGGCATGACACAGGTACGAACTTTGGCAACTGTGAGCGTGTCCAGAAGGCACACTGTCTTAATTCGTTCGGCTAAAATTGGATGATATGAATTAGTGTTGGCCTTTTCTGACTGTGTTAATGCGGTAAAGGTCATGCAGCAATGCTTAACACTTATAAAACTTAATTTGTGTGGTTGAAAAGCACTGTACTAAGTTATTGTTTTTTTAGAACAACTTCATCTAAACAGATATTCATCTAGGTTTCGCTGCAGTTCGCTGTAGTATTTGTTTTGCCAAAATGCGGCGGATTACTCTAACTTCCGTTAAATTCGAGTTCATTCCGTCCCACCGCTTTGCCGTTTTAATGCGTTTTATTGCATCTATGCAATGCAGAAAACGGACATGGACGAGTGGTTGTCTGTGTGTGCGTCTGTCACGGTTTTTCATCCCAAGACGTACAAAAACTAAAGGCTGAAATATTGGGAACTTAATTTGCATGCACGTACGGGCCCCAATCCCTAAAATGGGCGCTCTTACTCGCACGATACCCACGTACAGACCCCTCAGTTTTTTGCAGGTAAGTCGCTAACTCAGAAACCAGAAAAGCTAGAAAGCTGAAATTTTAAAGGAATGTTCCCCGTCCACGTAAGCTTCAATGAGCTCAAACTCAGCCCTCGCGTGTGCGTAGTACCCACTTACGGGCCCGGCAAAGTTTTTTTTCGAGTAAATTGCTAACTCGGGAACCTGAGAGGCTAGAGAATTGGAATTTTAAGGGGATGTTCCCCATCCAAATGGGCATTAATGAACTCAAACCCAGACACCAGGTATTCGTGGTACCCAAGTGCGGGTCCGTGAAACTTTTTTTCGAGTAAGTTACTAACTCGGTAGCCAGGAAAGCTAGAAAGCTGAGATTTTAAAGGGAGTGTTTTCTGTCAGTTCTGGCGGCCAGTCTTACTTTGTTTAGCTAGAAGCATTTGCCGGAAGAACCGGTGCCGGTAGAAACAAAAACTGCGGGGAACTATGCAAAAAATGCATCTTCGCGCCGACAACGGGTGCGTTGGCCAATTATTTTAATAATATATCGCTGTCTGTTGTTTTTTTGGAGTTGCACTTACATGCGTTTATCAAAAAGCAGTGAAATCAGAGCGAAATATGCCTGCGCTTTCAATTTAAAGTGTAACTTATCGACGAACTTTATTGTTACTATTACAACTATTGTTGTTGTTTATTATCATTATTATCAATTACTTTTTACTGACCAACAGGTGTTAGCGTTGAAAAAGTTGCAGTCTGCATAGTTTGAGAATTAGAGTATCAATTACAGCTGGTCAGGATATTCAAATTACTGTTATTTTAACTATCGTCATTCTCAGGACAAAATTGAACTTAGAGTCATCGCATCCATTGAAACTTAGGCTGCCTGGTAGATAATTGTCATGGTATGGACTTGCATTAGTTTTGCACTTCGCAGTGCAATATTTTTTTGTAGCGGCATGTGCACTCCTGTGCAGCAGCAGCAGCAGCAAAGACGCACCACCGCACTTTTAACAAATCAGAAAATGCCATGTACTACAGAAACACCGGAAACGTCGATTGTTGCAGGTTTGCTGTCATAAGTGCATTTTTCTCAGCTGTGTAGCGAGATTTTTGATTTCTGTGATGGCAGAAAATTCATACTTGTTCCGAGGGAACGAGGGGCGAGGGGAAAGAAACGAATTCAAAAATTAATGGTGGCGTTGTTAAGCATGGATTTGTATTTGCTGAGCAAGCTTTCTTTTGCAGAAAATGCGTCGAAGTTGGAATCCGATTCATCGGCTCTGGCATCTTGTTCGCTTAATGAATCAGTGGTATGTTTTCTGAATCGTTTTGCCTTTCTTTTTGATAATTCAACTGGACCCCCTCCCACTGTCCATTATTCGACTTTTATATTTAAGGTTTTCTGCGGAGCAGCGGTTACGTCTAGCACAATGTTTTTGTCGTGGGTGGCAAACCAAGTTTAGTAAAGGCGGAAAAAATTTGGGCAGCACTTAATTCATCACTAATATATCGGGTTTTAGCAGTGCACGCTTGAATCATCTGTTCTGTAACAGATCTAGATCCTTTTGTATATTCATTTTCATGGTGAATTACAGCACTCATATCTACATGTGTGAATGCAATGCAGATTTTTTTCTCCATCACACTTTTCTATATGGATTATTCTGGCTGAATCCTCGTTATTCCCTTCAAAGTTATTTCCTTACAAGCATTTTTATGTTTATTTTACACTCACTTGGTTGATTCAGGTTGCCGGAATGGCCAAAATATCAATGCAGAAGCCGAATATTTTTGTAAAGCCTGAAGTCGCTGCCGAAAAAACGGTAATTGAACGTGTTATTCATCCAAACGAATTCGCTGCCAGAATTCTTCAGCTCTGTTAGCCGCGGTTAATTGGTTCTGGCAACAGTCGGAGTGGAAGTTTGAAATGCGATTGAAATTCGCACAACCGATTTATAGGACGACGGTGCAAAGACGACGAAGACAGTGAATAATATAAAGAAGTTGGGGTGCGTGACGGCAGCGCTCTCTGCGAAACTGCCCATTCGTGAAGTTGCTGTTGTGGAAGGAAGACAGAATTCGGCACTGGCACTTCCACCGGAATCGAGGACCTGCCCAAGGAAAAGGTTGAAAATTTATTTGTTTTGTTTCCCCCGTCTGTCTGCATTCAAAGTAACATAATTCTTATTTTGGATAAGAAAGCAAAAACAGTGCATGACTAAGAGAAATCTCCTCACCTCCACAACGAAAATTCCATTTGCCGAGATCAACCGACACTTTTCGTTGGTGTTGCTTTTGTTCCCTTATGAACGAAGGGGTTCGATCGAATTACTGCGCACTTCTAATTATAAGAATTTGTTTGTTCATGACTTGAACGTTCATTTTATAGATTAGGTTCATTTCAGGCAAATTTCGGAAGGACTGGGTGCGCATAAAGGATCGGAAACAGTTATCCCGAAAAAAACGTCTTTTTGAAAGTGAAGGAATCTTGCTCAAGGCCAGACTGAGATCCACTCTGTGCTGAACATATTTTGCAAAAGACTGAATCCTAAGCCGAACCAGACCAGCATTACAGCCTCCACTTAACCAGAATTCTGCTTTGGCTGTGTGCATTTGATTGTTGGGTGCTAATCGTGCTTTATGACGTGATGCTAGTGGAATGTAAGGTTTCGTGAATTTGAGCATAACGCATTGACCAAAAAGTATGCGAAGCTGTTAATGAAGGTTAAAAAGCATTTGGCAGGTGACCTCTAGGGACAAGCAGAGAAATATTCAGGGGCCTTAAGTTAAGATAGTGAAGAAAGCCAGTCAGATCGGAACTGAAAATGAAACCGGCTCCTGGAAGGTATATGCGCTGCTCTACACCCCTAGGGTGAAGTATCTATTTTCTCCGGATTGGTCGAGATAAGCTGGATATGGGGAGAATGGTCAAGAAAAGACTTGGACAATGCAATACGGAAGCAAACTTATCCTCTGAATTGATTTCCAGTAAATCTCATTTTTCACTGTTTTTTGGTACATGACCGAGTCTATTGGTTTTGTGCAGTGTTGCTAGCAGCAGGAACTGCACCAGATCAGGACGTGCTCAATTCTTTGTATATTTTCTTGCCATCTGTTTGAAGTGTTGTTTTGTGCGCAGTATCTGTATATAATTGACAAGAAGTGTATAAATCCGTTAACACGTTTATTCATGTTGACTAAGTTGAGTCATTTAAACTGTATTTCAAACAGCTCAGATATTTTTCTTTTTACTTTTTCCTTTGGCATTTATGGTCTTACCAGCGAGGAGTTTAATTCTTAAAAACATTTTCTAAAAACAGTTTCCCGTATTTCTCCGAATTCGTAAATTGCCACATCGTGTCCTGGGGCGGTGACATCTCGGACTTAATGGTGTTTCTCAACACATTTACTCCTTTATATATTGCAAACACTCTTCATTTTTATGCGTTTTGTGCTGTGTAACAGCAGTACAAAACGCATATTGTTACGGGGTTGTC